TATTTTTTAAAAAAAAAAAAAGGGGGTATGATCCCTGTATAAAAAAAAAAAGGGGGGGATTGACCCCTGTATATAAAAAGGGGGGGGAAATTTGATCTCCATGATAATACAAAAGGGGGGATAAAGATCTCCGTATAATACATAAGGGGGGATATGTCTCCATGATAAAAATAAGGGGGGAATGATCCCATTAAAAAAACTAAGGGGGGTAGATCTCCATGTAAAATAAATAAGGGGGGTATGATTCCATTTTTTAAACATAAGGGGGGATATGACTCCATGTTAATACAAAAGGGGGGGGGGGTAAATCACCATGTATAATACATAAGGGGATATGACACCATGTAAAAACATAAGGGGGGATAATTCTCCTTTTAAAATACTAAGGGGGAATACCCATGTTAATAAAAAAGGGGGGATGATCCCCATTCTCGGTGTAGAGTTAATTCCCCCTGAGGTCATCACAGAGGACAAGGAGGGGCGCTCTTTAAGTCAGGTAGGAAAAGAAATGTAAACCTTCCAAACATGATGGACAGGTTTTCCTTCACAGTAAGATCTGTGAGAATGTGGAATAGAGTCCCTCAAGAGTTGGTTGTGGCCAGCTCAGTGGATTGCTGTAGGAAAGTCTTGGCATTCTTTCTTGGATACACAGAATATAACTGGATATAACATTTATAGGTAAAGTGATCCAGGGAAATATCTGACTGCCTCTCAGGGGATCAGGAAGGAATTTTTTTTCCCAGCAGGAGCAAATTGGATCGTGCTTTGTTGGGGTTTTTTGCCTTTCTCTGGATCAACTGTAGCTGTAGGATTATAACTTTTTGGACTTTTGTCTTTTTCAGTCAGACTAACTATGTAACTATATAACTATGCAACTCACCTATGGACATTCTTAGGCACGGTAGTTTTATTATTTTTCACCATTTCATGATTGGGTGCCATTATAAGGCTTGATATGTATCTACTACTTTTATATTTTACCCAAAACATGACTATTATATGTGTTTGTTTACACCAACATTCTTTTCAGTTTATTCTTTCCTGATAAAATGTGTTTGATAAAACAGGTGCACAAATATTGTGAGAACATCATTGTAAACTGATGTTAAAAAAGATGGAAAAGCCAAACAATTCTTCCATTCATCATGTTGCTTGTTTCTCTTTTGGGGAAATGGTGACACCCCCCCTCCTTTCATTCTCTATTTTGCATTCCTACGGCATATTTTTTCATTGCAATGTTTTGTTTGTGACAACTATTCCCCTTTCCCTTCATTCCAAACGTGACTTTGAACTGGTTTGGTGAGAAAAGAGTGACGATCCATCTGATCTGTACAATACCTGATCAGGGGCGGACTGACAACTCATGGGGCCCCCCGGGCAATAGAGGATCATGGGGCCCCTTTGTCCTTGCCCAAACTCAAAAAAAGCCTATGAAAAAGGTACCAGGGGCATCTCATGGGGCCCCCTACTGACCTCGGGGCCCTCGGGCGGTGCCCAAGTTTCCAAATGGTCAGTCCGCCCCTGTACCCAATCTATTTATGGATCAATAAACAAAGATTTAACAACAAAGGCCCCTTTACACTGACAGTCCGACCGGTCAGTTTTTTTCAGGCGGGCCCATTCAGACCATCTGTCAGTTTCTCAGGCGGGCCCGTTCAGACCATCTGTCAGTTTTTCAGGTGGACCCGATCGGACCATCTGTCAGTTTTTCAGGCGGACCTGATTGGACCATCTGTCAGTTTTTTCAGGCGGACCCGATCGGACCATCTGTCAGTTTTTCAGGTGGACCCGATCGGGACCATCTGTCAGTTTTTCAGGCGGTCCTGATTGGAACCATCTGTCAGTTTTTCAGGAGACCCAATCGGACCATCTGTTAGTTTTTCATGCGTATTCGATCGGACGACATCTGTCAATTTTTCAGGTGAACCCGGTCGGACCATCTGTCAGTTTTTTCAGGCAGATCCGATCGGACCATCCATATTCCCCTATGGGCCGGCAGGTGTAAGCGGACAAGTGTCTGCTGACACCCGCCAGCATCCGATCCTGTATGCCAAAAACAGATGGATGGGGATCTATTCTCCATCCATCTGGTGGATCGGATTGGATGGCAGTCGATGGAAATGGACAGGTGGCCCGTTTCCATCCGACTGCCCCGTAGAAGACAGTTGGCTGTGTCTGCTCTGCACCAGGTCGGCTACCCAAGTCAGGGAGAAGGGGTTAATGCAATGATCTCCAAATTGTGGCCCAGGGGCCAGATGTGGCCCTTTGCTTACCTTCATTCGGCCCTCAGGACACCACTCCTCCCACTGATACAAGACGCTATTCCTCCCACTGACACCAACCATGGGGCCTATTTCCTGCAAGTGACACCAGTACCAACATTGGGACTCTATTTCTCACACTGGCACAAACAAAGGAGAACTATTCTACCCATTGACACCAGGGATGGGGTGCTATTCCTCCCTGTAATGATAACTCCTTGCCCCCCTTCCTGACCAGGCCATTTTTTTGCGTTATGGCGCTGCATTACATTGACAATTGCGCGGTTGTGTTGCAAAAAACACACGTTTTTCTTTGTTTCTGTTATAAAAGTTTACAAATAAATAATTGTTCTTCATAAATTTAGGCCGAGATGTATTCTGCTACATGTCTTTGGTGAAATAACCCAAATTAGGATGTATTATTTAGTTTGTAGGAAAGTTATAGAGTTCACAAACTATGGTATAGATCTGAATATTGATCAATCCTGAAGTACTGACAGCCAATCTAATTTCTTGAGGTCCAAGAATGTCAGAATAGTACAGATATTCCCAAATGACAGTCCGACGTACTTCATAAGAGGAATGGCGAGTTTTTTGAAGTTGTATTTTTTTTGTCATAATTTTCTGGAAAATGAAAAAATTAAAAAAATTATTTTCACAATTTTTTTTTTTAACATACTGTCACCAGTGCAGTACAGCGTCATCATATAACTGGCATGGCGGTGAACAGGGACACTGACTGGTGACAGTATAAAAAAATATATATATTTTTTTTTTTTTTATTTTTTTTATTATTATTTTTAATTTTTTATTACATTTTTTTTATTTTTTTTAAGATTTTTTTTTCATATTTTACTATGACCAAAGTAGTACAATGTTACCATAGTAACATTGTACTACTTTGGGGAAGTGATCAGTATTTTTTTTTTTTTACACAATTTGCTTATAGCAAAGAATTACTTTGCTATAAGCAAGCATTTACCAGAATGAAATCGATTCATTCAGTTTTTTTTTTTTTTGTGCTTAGCTGTGATTTGGTCACAGCTAATCACATGACATGTGCATGTGACCTGCTGTGACTATTCACAGCTAGGCACTAGTATACAATGGATGGTATGAATGAAGCCATCCATTGTATACAACTGTCATGTGACCTGCTGTGATTGGTCACAGCAGGTCACATGGTACCAGCAACGGGAGCCGGTACTCGGATCTGTCATCGGCGCCGTGCCCGAGGTACCCGGCCGGTGACAGATCGCGCTGCTGCGCCGCTCTGCAGTTGCGCGAACTGAGCATGTGCGGGAGCACGCCAAATGGCGTGCACCCGGCATGCAGAAGCACTTTTGCCGCCGCCAAACGGCCATTGGCCGGGCGGCAAATGGTTAATAGCAAAAAGTCAAAAATATTGTTTTTTTTCTCAAAATCGTCGGTCTTTTTTGTTTATAGCGCAAAAAAAAAAAATGCACAGGCAATTTAATACCACTGAAAGAAAGCTCAATTCATGGGGGAAAAAAAAGACGTAAATTTCATTTGGGTGCAGCATTGCATGACCGCGCAATTGTCAGTTAAAGTAACGCAGTGCCATAACGCAACAAAAAGGGCCTGGTCAGGAAGGGGGGGGGGGGTAAATCCTCTGGAGGGCGAGGGGCTAAACATTTCCCTTTGCCATGCATATCAGCCACATTTTAACATCACATGTTATATTAGTTATTTCACAGCTGGTCAGAAGTGTCTTGTTTCACAGACAGACATTCTATTGGAGGGGGTTGAGGGGGGATCTGGAAACCGCTCTTCTCTCTCTCTCTCACACAAGCAGGATTTGTCAGGATATGTCCAATGTCCATCGAGGAGCAAGGGAGGGGTCACATACACACAGACGTCCAGGGATGGACTGACAACTCACGGGGCCCCCGGACAATAGGGGATCATGGGGCCCCTGTGTCCTTGCCCAAACTCAAAAAAGCCTATGAAAAAGGTACCAGGGGCATCTCATGGGGCCCCCTACTGACCCTGGGCCCTCGGGCAGTGTCCTAGTTTCCAAATGGTCAGTCCGCCCCTGCAGATGTCCCAAACCTGCAGCCATCTCTGCCTCAAATGATTTTAAAAGTTCTCACTTTCCTCATGTACAACTTTACAGAGCTTTTACTTTAACCCCTTCCAGTCCGGACACTTTTACCCCCTTCCAGTCCGGACACTTTCACCCCCCTTCCAGTCCGGACACTTTCCCCCCCTTCCAGTCCGGACACTTTCACCCCCTTCCAGTCCGGACACTTTCCCCCCCTTCCAGTCCGGACACTTTCCCCCCCTTCCAGTCCGGACACTTTCCCCCCCTTCCAGTCCGGACACTTTCACACCCCCTTCCAGTCCGGACACTTTTACCCCCTTCCAGTCCGGACACTTTCCCCCCCTTCCAGTCCGGACACTTTCCCCCCCTTCCAGTCCGGACACTTTCACCCCCTTACAGTCCGGACACTTTCCCCCCCTTCCAGTCCGGACACTTTCCCCCCCTTCCAGTCCGGACACTTTCACCCCCTTACAGTCCGGACACTTTCACCCCCTTCCAGTCCGGACACTTTTACCCCCTTCCAGTCCGGACACTTTCACCCCCTTCCAGTCCGGACACTTTCCCCCCCTTCCAGTCCGGACACTTTCACCCCCTTACAGTCCGGACACTTTCACCCCCCCTTCCAGTCCGGACACTTTCACCCCCTTACAGTCCGGACACTTTCCCCCCCTTCCAGTCCGGACACTTTCCCCCCCCTTCCAGTCCGGACACTTTCACCCCCTTACAGTCCGGACACTTTCACCCCCTTCCAGTCCGGACACTTTTACCCCCTTCCAGTCCGGACACTTTCACCCCCTTCCAGTCCGGACACTTTCCCCCCCTTCCAGTCCGGACACTTTCACCCCCTTACAGTCCGGACACTTTCACCCCCTTCCAGTCCGGACACTTTTACCCCCTTCCAGTCCGGACACTTTCACCCCCTTCCAGTCCGGACACTTTCACCCCCTTCCAGTCCGGACACTTTTACCCCCTTCCAGTCCAGACACTTTTACCCCCTTCCAGTCCGGACACTTTCACCCCCTTCCTGACCAGGTCAATTTTCAGCTTTCAGCGCTATCACACTTTGAATGACAATTGCGCTGTCATGCAACACTGTACCCATATGAATTTTTTAGCATTTTTTTTAGACAGATAAAACTTTATTTTGGTGGTATTTATTCACCACTGGGATTTTTTTTTTTTTGGTATATAAATGAAAAAGTCCAAACATAGTTACAGCAAGGCAACGTTTCGGAGTCTCGTAGGACCCCTTCACCAGACATTTGGCTTTCTTCTCCCAGAAGATGAGTCAACCAGACAAAAACTATGACGTAGGGGACTGCAAATTACTAGCCATTAAATCAGCCTTGGAGGAGTGGCGCTTTCTATTGGAAGGGGCTGCTCACCCCAGGGGCGGACTGACCATTTGGAAACTCGGGCACTGCCCGAGGGCCCGGGGTCAGTAGGGGTCCCCATGAGATTCCCCTGGTACCTTTTTCATAGGCTTTTTTGAGTTTGGGCAAGGACACAGAGGCCCCATGATCCCCTATTGCCTGGGGGCCCCATGATCCCCTATTGCCCGGGGGCCCCATGAGTTGTCAGTTCGCCCCTTATCTTAGCCCATTTAAAACGAAATGGCACAGAACCGCTTGTGCAATTCATATGATGGAAACCGGCCCTTAGGCTTTCTTTCCCCTATTTTCATCTGGTAGTCCAGACAGCAAGTCTGTTGTTTTTAACAGCACATGCTCTCCAGCAGAATGTATCAGTTTACATGGATGAGACAAACCGCTTAGACTAGGTTCACACCTATGCAGGTTGAGTTTGACGTGTTTCTGCATTGAGTTTTGTGTTGTGTTTTTGATGCATTTTGAGGTTTGTTTGTTTTTTCTTTTTTTAATTTTTCTTGTTGCTAGGCAGACTTAAAACACAAAATGCAGCAAAACGCACTACATGCTTTTCTTCATCTTTTCCTTTGAAGTCTATAGAACCAAAAACGCAAAAAAAAAAAAAGTATTTTAAATGGAAAAAGAAACCACATCAAAAACACGGCAAAAACGCAATGCAGAAATGGCTCAAATGCAACCTGCGTAGGTGTGAACCTCGCCTTAGGGGCACTGACGGGTCTTGCAGAGGAGGAAGATCACAAACAGAAGTGTTTTTATTGTCAACCTTTCCATGAAGCTTAGTCCATCTTCCTTAAGGCGAGGTTCACACCTAGGCAATTTGCGTTTGATCCGTTCCTGCAGTGCGTTTTGCATTTTTTTTTGCATATGTGTTGTTGATGCGTTTTGCATTTTTTTTCTTGTTGCTAGGCAGATTTGAAATGCAAAATGCAGCAAAAATGCACTACATACTTTTGTGCAGCGTTTCCATTGAAGTGTATAAAACCAAAAACGCAACTTTTTGCTTTAAAAAAAATAAAAAAAACACGCATCAAAAACGTGGCCCTTTTGGAAAGGTTCAGGGACTTTTTTATATGCAAAAAGTTGCGTTTTTTATTCAATAGACTTCAATGGAAACGCTGCAGAAAAGTATGAATTGCGTTTTTGCTGCGTTTGCGTTTCAAAGCTGCCTAGCAACAAGAAAAATTGTAAAAAATGAAGAAAAAAGCATCAAAAACACGGCAAAAGCACAATGCAAAACGCAATGCAGAAATGGCTCAAACGCAACCTGCGTAGGTGTGAACCTCGCCTTAGGGGCACTGACGGGTCTTGCAGAGGAGGAAGATCACAAACAGAAGTGTTTTTATTGTCAACCTTTCCATGAAGCTCAGTCCATCTTCCTTAAGGCGAGGTTCAGACCTATGCAGTTTGCGTTTGATCCGTTCCTGCAGTGCGTTTTGCATTTTTGCACATGTGTGTTTGATGCGTTTTGCGTTTTTTTCTTGTTGCTAGGCAGATTTAAATGCAATATGCAGCAAAAACGCACTACAACTTTTCTGCACACACACCAGTGCCCCCATAACAAGCAGCTTCCTATGGGGGGCGCTGCTCGGGGGGGAGGAGCTAGAAGCACCAATGAGGGACCAGAGAAGAGGAGGATCGGGGTGTGAAAAACCACTGCACTGAGCAAGAAAGGATGACATGATTGATATTTAAAAAGAATTTAAAACAAGGCTTTCCCCTTGATTCACACCGATGCGTTTGCCGCAGCGATTTGTAGAAACGCAGTACAGTCCATTTAACATGATTTCCTATGGGACATGTTCACATCTCTGCGTTTTCACCCGGTGCGTTTTTTGGAAAGGGTCAGGGACTTTTTTAAAAGCAAAAAGTTGAGTTTTGGGTTCTATAGACTTCAATGGAAACGCTGCACAAAAGTATATAGTGCGTTTTTGCCGCATTTTAAATCCGCCTAGCAACAAGAAGACAAACCTCAAAACACATCAAAAACGCATGTGCAAAAATGCAAAACGCACTGCAGGAACAGATCAAACGCAAACTGCCTAGGTGCGAACCTCGCCTTAAGGAAGATGGACTGAGCTTCATCAAAAGGTTGACAATAAAAACACTTCTGTTTGTGATCTTCCTCCTGTGCAAGACCCGTCAGTGCCTCTATGGCGAGGTTCACACCTACGCAGGTTGCGTTTGAGCCGTTTCTGCATTGCGTTTCTGCATTGCGCTTTTGCCATGTTTTTTTTTTTTTTTTCATTTTTTACAATTTTTCTTGTTGCTAGGCAGCTTTGAAACGCAAAACGCAGCAAAAACGCAATTCATACTTTTCTGCAGCATTTCCATTGAAATCTATAGAATAAAAAACGCAACTTTTTGAATATAAAAAAGTCCCTGACCCTTTCCAAAAAACGCAGCGAGTGAAAACGCGGAGATGTGAACGTGTCCCATAGGAAATCATGTTAAATGGACTGTACTGCGTTTCTGCAAAATGCTGCAGAAAAACGTTTAGGTGTGAACCTGGGGTTACCCAATTTTGGATTTATACTGGCAAAAGTATGTAGTCATAGGACACGCCCCCCCTGCCACGCCCCTCTTAAAGGAGAATTGTAAAAAAATAAAAATGATAGGTTAAACCCACAAGTGCTTTTTTAACCTCTTCTATTCCTTTATATTGTCTTTGAGGTATTTACAAACGCAGCAATTTAGAAACTGAAGGAAAGGTTTAGCACGGGGAAACACATTTTGATAGATACGTAGTGAAGCCTTACATATAATATATGTAAAAATGTTAAAATGACTTTTTTATATGTTAAAAAAAATCCGAAGAATATATTTTTAAAAATATAAACGCAATTCATACTTTTCTGCAGCGTTTCCATTGAAGGCTATAGAATAAAAGATGCAACTTTTTGCATATAAAAAAGTCCCTGGACCTTTCCAAAAAACGCAGCGGGTGAAAACGCGGAGATGTGAACGTGTCCCATAGGAAATCATGTTAAATGGACTGGAAAGACCCATCCAACGCTCTTAGAAGCGTCAGCTTTTTTGCACCCAGTGAGATGCATGGAAGGGAGGATCCGATGTTGTAGATTGTCAAATTCTGCTGCAGACGGATCTCAGTTCACTTTCACTTTCACTTTTCCCAGCAGATCTTGCAGTAGAGGATGGTTGGGAAGAAATAATCCGAATATGAGGATCAGAATATTGGAGTCCACCAAGGACGGGGTGACCGGTGTCCTCCTCCTGCTCCTCTACCACACATGTGAGTGATAGGTTGTAGACTATCCCTTGTCTTTGTGATTCCTCCAGCAGAGAAGTCCTGCTCAGCCCCTCCCTGTTTAATGTCTCTGTCCCTCTCCTCACTCTCCTCATCTTCTTTCTTCTGCTCTTCTCCTCTGCGGGAGATTCTACAACTCCATTAATTCCAGTTACCGATGGCTGGATTGACTCTCTCTAGAGAGTCAATCGAGAGTCAATCCAACCATCGGTAACTGGAATTTCTGCAGACACTGCGTACGATGGAGGGAAGAGGACGACACCGGTCTCCCTGCTCTGTCCTCCTCCCATGTCCATTGTGTATTATCGGCTCTATCCTTCCTAAACCTCAGCTAGGATAGACCATAGAATCATTGTCCGGGGTCGTCCAGCCGACAATTTCCATCATGGAGGACACTGATGGACAGAATAGACCCACCCATTCCATTTCATAGACCTCTTGGTTTGGGTTATGTAAGCATGTAAACTGGTTGCTTAGCTCCTAACTGTATCTGATTTCGAGGGACTATCCCTCATTTCGAGGGACTATCCCTCATTAGGAACAAAGTCCCTCTGCCCCTCTTTCCTCCTCGTTTGTCCCTCCTTTTGGTCTGATCTATATAGTTGTATATTTATTTTATTTATAACAGGTACTTATATAGCGCCGTCAGTTTATGCAGCACTTTACATATATATATTGTACATTTACATCAGTCCCTAACCCTCAAGGGTAGATATGAATATGAAAAAATATATGAAAAATATGTTTTAAAATGCATTTCAAATATACTGTATGTCTTTAAAAATACAAATCTACATTTTTGGAATGCATTTACAAATATATGTAAAAATAT